GGGAAAGAGAAGTGTTTGGAAGCAATTAGGCAGGAGCATTGATGCCAGCTTTATGGGTAGGGTCTCTGCCATGGAGGAGGCTCTGAGATATGATGGACTGGGGTGTGCAGGTGCCATCTTGGGTCAGCATGGGTGCAGGAAGCCTGGGGGAGGGGCAGATGGTGGCAGCTGGGGCCAGTCCAGGCATCCGTGTGGTCCTCAGAGTGGGAAGTGGTCACCATCTCTATGTTCAGTGCGGGCAAATACCAGCTGAGTAGCCTTAGGTTAATCATAAATCCCCTTAGGGGGTCTCAGTTTCCCCACCCATAAAGCAAAGGGATTGCACCAGATGGGCCTTCTAAGTCACTCTCAGGTTGACATCCAATGACCTTCTGGCTGAGTGAAGGATGCCTGGGAGGTCTGATGGCCTCCACAGCAGTCTTGGCTGTGCTATACACGGTGGCAGATCACTCAGCTTCCGCTATGTCAAGATGAGGAAGAGGATGGCACTCTGCCTGAGAACAGACCTCTGTGAGTGGAAAGGGCATGCCAGCAGCCCCATCACTGGGCATTGCATCCAACTCTTCTGGAAGGCACCTGCCAAGGCGCTTCTGTAGCCATTACTGCTCGAGAATATCTATCTTCTCTTTACACCTCAAGTGTATCCTTCACCCTGCAGCTGCCCCTGACCCTCTGTGAAGACCTACATATGACAGGGCACAGGCTGGACTGGCCAGACTGGGAGGCCCTGAAGCCAGGCCCAGCTGTCCTCACCTTGGAGGTCTCTCTGATGCCCAGGCCAGTGCCTGGTACAGAAGGCTTTGGTAAGTATCTGCTGAGGGAGGGACAGGCAGGGTGGAGGGCCCTATCCTCTCAAATTGGACTCCCCCAGGTCCTTTCTCCACCCTAAAACACCCCTTTGGCACAAGCCAAGGTTCACATGAAAGTGGCCAGAGACAGAGAACCAGCATAGCTGGAATTCCAATGTCAATTTTCACCAGCTCCTGACAGTGTTAGGCATGCCCTTCTCCACCAGCCCCCGCTAGCAGGCTCTGAGTATCCAAGAGATACTGCCCCTTGCTTAGTGGCCAGCAAAGCTGGTATTCACCTGCCCTAAGCTGCCAGGACACCCATGGAGATACCAGGGCAATTCTACTTGTGGCCGAGGTGATCAATGCTGGGGTGTTCTCCCTGGCCAGCAGCTGGACTGGTCATTGAGAACTGAGACTGCTCTGGAAAGCAAGCCCACCTCGTGTCTCCAATTCTGGAATTGTTGAAGGGAAACTGGCCAGGTGAGGCGCCCCTCCTGGCATTTGGGGCTGGTGATCTAATGCCTCTAGACCAGCATGCAAAACTGGTCAGCCCCCTTGGCAGACCAGTCACTCAGACTGTAGTTCCTAGTAATTAGACCCAAAAAGGACAGGTGTAGGAGACAAAAAAAGGGACAGGTATAGGACACAAACCCAAGGCCTAGGTTTCTGGGCTGTCTCAAGTCTCCCTTTACCTCCCCCTCTTGGCCTGGGAGGTATAGTGATCTAGCCAGAGTGCACCTGGCACAAAGTGGGGGTGGGGTACAAGCACACAGATGGGGACACATGGAGAGTCAGATATACACTTTGATGTCAGAGGTAGAAGTGTCCTTATAGGTGATCACAGTCCAGTTCCCCACTGGACAGATATAAATGCTGAGACCTGGAGGGTGAGGGTGGCAGGAAATTGCAAGTGGCAGGACAAGACTCTTGTCCAAGATTTTAGACAAATCCTTTCTTTGGCTCTTAAAAATGGACTTCAATCCATAGGGCTGACCTCCAGAAATAGGGGCAGGCAGAGAAGGTGACACTTATAATACACTGGCTGGGCTGGGGACACTTTCTGCACATCTCCAGTACACGGATGGAGACACTAAGGCCTGGATGGCATGACTGACCAAGGCTACAAGGCCAGTAGGTAGGGAAACCAGGCATGAGGCCCATCCCCTGCTTCTTCACCACATGCAGCTGGGCCCTCTGGACTATAAGCCTGTACTGTGACAGCTTCCTACCACCTAGGGAACGTCACACACCAGGGATGAGAGGGAACTGTACCCTTGGCCCTCTGAGATCTGCTGTGAGCTGGCATCTGGGACTGTTTTTAGAGCAGAGGGTGCCTCGCACAGGGGACTGAAAGATGGATCCTTCAGGAGATAGCTGGTGTCATCCTATTTCTGCAGATTTCCTCATGGGCTCCCTGGCTGGTACCTCATAGGTGGGTCTATGTGGGAGTCACCAAGGGGCCCCAATGCCAGCCAAGGCCCCCAGTTCAGCAGCTCAGAGCTTCCCTGGTGAAAGAAGAGGAAGCTTGAGCAGCTGATGGACCCTGGTCCTCTTGCTTGTGAACTGCCACGCTTGGCATTGGATGCTTGGTCCCTTCCTCTTTTGTGATCCAATCAGTCCTTTCATGGAGTTCACCTTGGGCCAAGCCCCAGACCACAGGGACTCCAGGAGGAATGAAGTTCACAGGGGACTCTGACACTGACAGGAAGGGAGGCAGAGTGACCACCCAGCACTATCAAGGCCCTGGGGGGTCCCCCAGAGCACTGACAAAGCCTGGGGTATAGGCAGGCTGCTTCTGTCTGTAGGCAAGGCTGGTGACCTGAGTTCCATTGCTGATGCCACCTGCTTCTTTTACTTTTCCCAGCCCAGAAGAGTACCATTTACCTTGGCACTGGGGAATGGCCATCAGGCAGCACTGCTCACAGGCACCTGGGCTGCAAGGTGATCACTGGGCAGGGAGGGGAGGGGAAGCAGAAGGCGAGGCCAGGCCACTGCCCCGTCAGTGCACCCAGTGATGTGCAGGCTTGCCCTGGCTGCTGCCTTCTCCTTAATCCAATTATAGCACCTCTGGCCTCAGAGCCTCCAGCCCAGTCTCCTGGCCCAGTTGCTGTTTAGCATATTGAATTTTCCTCAGCTGCCACAACCAGCCTGATTATTATTATTTTTATTTTTTGAGACAGAGCCTCAAGCTGTCCCCCTGGGTAGAGTGCAGTGGCATTACAGCTCACAGCAACCTCCAACTCCTGGGCTCAAGCGAGTCTCCTGCCTCAGTCTCCCAAGTAGCTGGGACCACAGGCGCCCGCCACAACACCAGGCTATTTTTTTGGTTGCAGCCGTCATTGTTGTTTGGCGGGTCCGGGCTGGGGATTCGAACCTGCCACCTTAGGTATACGTGGCTGGCGCCTTAGCCAGTTGAGCTATAGGTGCCGAGCCAACCAGCCTGATTATTTAAGCCATCAGGTCTAACACAGACAATGGTGCTCACAGACGTCAGCAGCGCAGAGGACAGCATGATTTCTACTGTTTTTTTGGTCCTGGTTGCCTTCCCAGCTGGCTAGATATTCTCTCTACATCCTCCCTGGCCAGGTGGCAGTCCAGCCTCTGGTCTTACACCCCCAATGATGAGAGAGTCACTACCTTGAGGCAGTTTGGATGGCTCTAACTTATGACCAGCAGGGAGCTGGAATCTGCCTGCCTATAACTCCCCCTGCACATCTGCTCCTTCTTCCCTGATAGTCCTGCCTGGCCTCTCTCCTGCTGACTCTGCAGTGTGTCACCATCCTTCCTGGGACAGAGCTCAGCAGACCAGGTGGATCAGTCCTGAGTAGAGTATGCAGGCTGATCTCACCCTTCTTGGCTACAGGGATACCTATGTCTTTTTTTTTTTTTTTGGCCAGGGCTGGGTTTGAACCTACCACTTCTGGCATATGGGGCTGGCGCCCTACTCCTTTGAGCTACAGGAGCTGCCCGGGGGATACCTATGTCAATGGGGCCAGCAGGCACCCAGACTCCCTGACAACCACATCCCAGGAAGCCTGCTCTGTCACATGACCTCTAATAATGTTAGTAGAACATAGGGGAAGCCAGGCAGAGGGTTTCAGTGCTCTTGAGGGCCTGGGATTATATCCTAATTATGTCACTAACTCTGTGTTCTTGGCAAATATTTTCTTTCTCTAGGCCTCAGTTTTCCTATCTGTAAAACTCAGTTTTCCTGACTGTAAAACAGAGTCATACAATCTCTTGGGTCCCACCCAACAACAGCATCAAATATACAGCACCCAACCAGAAGACCCTTTTCTTACTTTCTTTTTTTTTTAGATACAGTCTCACTATGTTGCCCTCGGTAGAGTTCCGTGGAGTCCCAGCTCATAGCAACCTCAAACTCTTGGGCTCAAGTCATTCTCTTGCTTCAGCCTTCCCAGTAGCTGGGACCACAGGCACCCACCACGACACCGGCTATTTTGTTGTTGTTGTTGTTGTCATTATTGTTTAGCAGGCCGGGGCTGGGTTCAAACCCGCCAGCCTCGGTGTATGTGGCTGACGCCATAACCATGTGTTAGGGCACCGAGC